TCATGGGACTTTATTCCCAAAATTGCCCTTGTAGTTCTAGAATTTTAGTATCTCATATTGTAGAAGGCATCTCTATGAAGGGATGATACTCCTACTTTTCTTTTTAAGTTTGCAGATGGTGACAACTTTAAAGCCTGAGTACTAACTGTCACTAACCTTCTTATATGTGCACAGTAGGCCAAGGAGGTGGTAAAATAACACTTGTAAACCACTTCTCTCCCATGTTAAAGAATTCCACAGCTACCATGTGTGTCTGGCAGTAGTGTTTCTGTAGTGCAGCGTTTTTATGATTGTCACTGTCCTTGTTTCTATTTAATTTTTACATAGAAGTCTGGGTGCCCTGTGTGTCTTCAGGGACAGTCACCTGGTTTTCACAGGCCTTCTGTAGCCGGAGCCCCATTTATTGTGTAGGTTGCTGACACGCTTTGTCCACATGGATGGTCCTTTCCCAGCTCAGATCCCCTGACCCTTCTTTTCTGAGTTGATTATGGGTTTTGAAGTCTGAATCAATTACAGAATCACATCTAATGACTAATGCGCCTTCACAATAAGAATCAGTCGGCCCTTCCTGTTTTCATTCATGTCGTAAGTTGAATAGCTGCAAGGGAAAGAGTGGAGATTGCCAAAACAAATAATTGTTGTGGCTTGCGCAAACATTTTATTGCAAGTCTCATTAAATATGCAGCTTTCAGGAGTCTACATCCCATGCTTTTCAGGAAAGCTAAATCGTCAGTACGTGGACTTGCTGCAAGATTCAAAAACAAGGCTGTGTTGAATTTGACATTACATGAATTGTTAGTCTGCATCTCTTAAAATTTCACAGCAGCAAATATAAGGGAACCAGTTGTTTGTTTCAAGTCACAAGGAAAGCTGAACGTGGAGATTTATATGTTGGCCAGGGGAGTTCCCAGGAAATGGAACCTGGTGGTGAGAGTGTCCTGTGCCCCTGTCCCACAGAGGGTCTTCAGGCCGCCACCCCTGGGATGCTCCTGCGCAATCTGCAGAACTGCACCGTGTCTGTTGCCAGTTCATCATTATCGGCGAGGCCTTGTTAAAGTGGTTTTTTTCTTTTATAAATACAGACTACACATCAGACTCCCTTTTCCAGCATGTTTTCCTTGGCAGCCAGATATTTGAAAACAAGATAAAAGTGATTATATGCGTTGTTTCAGAACAGCTTTCAAAGTATGAGAATTTGGCACTTTCTTCTGTTTTCTGCACAGTATTTGGCCCCATATTTCCTTTGCATTTGACATATAGAATCGCTGGACCTTTATAACCACATCCTGTTTCTGACCCTTAACTGATGTTCTCTTCGTGATCACTTTTTTGTTTGTCTTTCAAAATAGTAAATTAACCTTGTTACCCTGTGTTGACTTTTGATCATCAGGTATGGCATTACACTTTTGATTAAAATTTGAGTATTTGAGTATTGTCATGTAAAAAGGAGAGTATGATAGGACTAAATGTGTTTTAATTCTATTTAATTTTATTTTGTGTCTGTCTCTATTGAATTGTCAGCCTTTGCTTTATGTTGTCGTTGGCCCCCAAGTCCCACTGTGTTAACTTGAACTTACATGTGCCCAGGACTGTGTTAGGTACTGGAGAGACAAAGGTAAGCCAGGTGTGCTTCCTGCCTTCTCAGTCTAAGCAAGATGCTGTATGCACTGAGAGGTGACCTGGTGACTGAGCAAGCCTGGGACAAGAGAGCAGGAGGATAGGGGCTGGGGATTTAGCTCAGTGGCATAAGCGCTTGCCTTGCAACAGAGCAGAAGGACAGGCAGGGCGGGAGGGCAGGAAAGCGAGAGGAGAAGGAACATAAAGGAAAGGAAGGGCAGCCAGCTCTGCAGGGAGTATCAGGACCGCTTCCAGGAAGTGGGACTTGGAACTAGGGTTTGAACAGTGGGTTAAAGAAATGGAGAAGAGAGAGAAGAAAGACTGTTCCTGGTGGAAAGAGAAAATGGAGATGATAAGTCCCACAGTGTATGTGGGTCCTAAAGGAGGAAATTGGAGGCAGAGGTTGTGGTAGGAGATGAATGCACACAATGTCCCGAAGCCCATGGACTACAACGAAATGTGTAATTCCTGTGTATTTGTGACCCGTTGTTTCAGAACTTGTTGTTTTACTACGGTGTTACTTGCTGTGTTATGTGGTTTGGAAGTATCTGTACCTTCACCCAGTGCCTTCCGCATGCCTTGCTGATAACCTCGCAGATGCAGTCCCTGCCCTCCCGGAGCTTACAGTCTGACGGGAGCGGCTCATGTAAACCCTGAGTCGACTGAAAAGACCCAGAAGCTCTCAGTGGGTAAATGGGACAACTCTGCCTCCAGTTACAGGACAACATCATTAAATAGTTTTTCAAAATACTACAGCACTGAAAAAATACATAAAGCTTTGGCTCCTTGAATTGAGCTGTGTTCCTTAGTACTATTCAGAGACCTGCTGGTGGAAGTAACAGCTTCCCCAGTCCGGGCAGATCCTTCCACTTCTTCTTGACAAGTCCACTTTTGCTCTTGCTTTAAGCTTTACTTGTGAATCTCTTCTTTCCTGTCTCCAACTCTGTGGTTCTGCCTCCCCAGCTCCCACCTCCCTACTTCTGTGCTTCAGAACATTCTGTCTGCGGGCACAAAGTCCTAAGTTTCGTTTCTGGTAGAAAAAAAAATCTGTCTGTCTCACAAAACCTTGTTATCTCCCCCATAATCCCATGTAGACCTCAGCCCTCCATCTCAGCCCTGTGGTGCCTTCTAGTTGAATAGAGATGGTCTTTTCCCCTCTTCCTGAGGCTTCTAGGTGGTGGTGACCCCAAAACTGGATTCTCTGACTGAGAAAAGTGCCTCGACATTGCAGAATTCAATGGATGCTTAAGAATTAAATCTCATTTCTAGCAAATGAGAGAATCGTAGTCTACCAAGATACCAACCATCTTTGTGAGGGCTCACAGAGTACCAGTGGACAGCAACGTGGTACTTCGCTGGTTATCTCATTTCATCTTCCCAGTAAATCAGATGATGACATGAAGGCTCAGATGGGCCCAACAGCTGGGGCCCACTCAGGATCCCATCAGTGAAACGACGCGCAAGGCATTGTGTGCATCCCTACCCCTCCGCTGCCAAGGTCACCCAGAACCTGTTTCCCTGTGTGCATCCCTACCCCTCCGCTGCCAAGGTCACCCAGAACCTGTTTCCCTGTGTGCATCCCTACCCCTCCGCTGCCAAGGTCACCCAGAACCTGTTTCCCTGTGTTGGGAGTGGGTTGGGAGCCCACTCACTCTACACTGACCTTTGGCAAAACCAACTGATTCCTTCCTCTTCTAGTATCCACAATGCCACCAGTGTGATAAAGTTTATGTTTGCTCTTCCAGGGGTACCACTAATGTAAAGCGTTGTTGCTTCTATAGTTTTGACCACTATTAATACAATCATAAAAATAGTCCCAAATGCTGTATAAAAAGCATTCTCCATATTGTTCTAAGTTTTTTAAAGAAAATATGACGAAGGATAAAATGCCTTTAAAGCTATATTCATTCCAATTTCACTGTGTTTTAAAGAAATATCTTATAATTTGTCAAAAGATATCAGTGGACATGAGTGTTTTATATCCTCTGGCCTTGTAAACTCACCCTCAAGAATTTATTCCAGGAATTTACTTTGAAGGAGATTAAAGCTCATATGCACAGATATTTTCAATTGTGTGTTGTTTATACTGGAAACAACCCAAAAGTTCACTAATGGGGGAAAAATTTTGTAAATCTTGCTAAATTAACTCAACAAAATTATACATTGCCCTTACAAATACAGACTCTGAAAATTTGTAGTATACCAACAAAATGATAATTTTAAAGTAATGAAAGAAACTACAAAATCCTATCTATACAATGAAAATTATATAGACACATGAAATATCAAAAGGAAACTAAAGAATCAGGTGTATCTAGAGTTTGAAATTATATGTGAAATGCTATTTTCTTTAATTCTTGTTAAAATCTATATTCACTAAATGCTAGGTTTAAATATCTTCTCTATTCATTTATATTTTAAATGGTTTGATTTATACCATAGTAAATATTTTTACTGCCAATTCCTGTCTATGCCATAAATTAGACCTTACTTCTGCTGTCAGTATCCTACTCCATAAATATTTATGTTTTATCACATCAATAGTATTCCTTTCCTACAATATTGTCTTTCCCAAATTACTGTGGACATTCGTCATACCTAGGGGTCTAACTGAAATGTTGATTTGGACTCAGTAGGTCTCATGGGGACCCCAAACTCCATGTTCTTGGAAAGCTTCCAGATGCTTCAGTCCCTGCTCCATGGTCACACAGTGAGTAGCAAGGCCCTAGAGCTCTCCTTTGGGTGTGAAGAAGAGGCTCTTGGCACATTGACTAGCACTGTCTAGGGAACCAGTGGCGATATTCTGTCTGCCTCCTCCACAAGTACTACAGTAACATTTCAGTGACCGGAGCAGGGAGTGCGTAGAAACAAGCCTCCTTTGAGATTCTGCAGCCAGTTTCATGATCAACAGCTATCAGCCACACAACTAACTTGCACTTGTGTTAATCAAGAGAAATGCCCAGGTGTCACTGAAACAAATAATTCTGAGTCTATGATAAAAAGTAAGAAGGAATCTTACATATAATTGTGTTCTTGTTGTCCCTTGGTACAATTGATTACAGAGTTGAAAATCCCACCTGTGTCAAGAAAGGTTTGTTTTGAGTTACAGTACTGGAGGAAACATCTGGCTTTAGCAATGAATCCTTTAGGCCTGGCCTTGTGAACAAGGGTAGAGATGTCATATAATGAAGTACGACAACATCCACTGTTTATGTGGGAAAGTCACAGCATTTTGCATTGTAGAGGCACAGTGTCTGTTGTCACTAGACATGGTGAGAATTTAAACTGTGAGTTTGAATCACTGTTCATCTTTACAAATAACTGCTAGAGCCTATGTTTATTTTTGGAAGGTAATAGCGGCTTTCCAACTTGTTTCCCCATAGTGACTGAAGCTGGCTTTGGGGCTGACATTGGAATGGAGAAGTTCTTCAACATCAAGTGCCGAGCTTCGGGCCTGGTACCTAATGTGGTGGTGCTGGTGGCTACTGTCCGAGCTCTGAAGATGCACGGAGGTGGACCAAGTGTAAGTTCTGCACTTCCTTCTGAGTACCAAAAAGATAAAAAACAATTTAGCATTTAAACCATTCCTGCCTAACAGCTCTGGTTATCTGTCTTCTTTCTGTAATCTGTTTTCACCAATGGTCATATTAGGGCGCTTGGAGTATTTAAAGAAAACAGCAACACCCACCATGTGACTTCTAAGCTGCATTTCCAAAGGAGCATCCTGTAATGTTTAAGTTTTAAGATCCAGTCCTGATACTTAGACCAAAATGCAAAAACCACATGGTAATTGGAAGAAGGCAGCTCTTGCTCCTAATCGAAGAACACAAGGATCAGAGTAATGCCTTTCATGCTGGAGCTTTTCATGTTTTGTACAGATAGTTTTTTTGGTTCATTGGTGTTACATCTCCTCAGATTTCACCTAAAAGCACTTCCCTTCTGTTACTGTTTATTACGACTTCACCTTGTGACTCTTACAGTGCTGGGTTGTTTCTGTGTGAGCACTCTTTGGAAAACAGATTTAATTCAAATAATTTGAAGTTCCTTAATCATTGTAATATTGATATATGATAAATTCCCAAACTCAGCTACTTCTTCTTATACTCTCTACAGAAGTCACTTAATGAATGACAGTACATAGTAAAGACTGCAGATGACCACCAGGGACACTGAGCTGTGCCCTGCGAGGTTGTCTTAGCAAGTCTTCATCCTGTTGTTTATTTCCTCTTGACAGAGGAAGTGGAGGTCTGATGGGTTTAGGGAACCGAGGTAGCCCCAGGCCAGCAGAGAGCCAGGTGTTACATTTAAACCCCTTCCCTGCCTACTGTGCAGCACTGTCTTTTAACAAAGGTGGGGGATATAAGCCTAAATCCTAAACCAGTGCTCAAGCACTTCATTTTTGCCTAAACCTTTACCATCACATATATTTTTAATTTGTTTGCATTTTAAAAAGAAATCTCATCAGGAATTTACCAATCTTGTTAGTCTTTTAAGGAACCACCTCTTGGCTTTGGCACTACTTTTTTGGCATTTGATTGTATGTTCTTCTTGCTTAAGTTCCCACACACTGTCATAAGGAATTTTTTTTTTTCCTAACACAGCGGTTATTTCTTTTTGTAGGATTTTAGGTATTTTCAAGGCTTTTTGACTGAAAGTAAAAAATTATTGCTATCCTATGTAGTACGCTGTAAATCAAAGCAGGGAAGAACGGTGGATCCGTTCGCAGTTGGGCTTTTAGAACTCGGACAAACGCCCTGGCTGTCCTTTGCCTTACAAAGAGAGGCAAAGCGGGTTACATGCTAGTCCTCAGTGTCTTCATCTTTAAACTCCCATCCCAACACCAGGAAACCAGGGAAAACTAGGAGGGGACAAAAAGTAGTGGCAATAAACATTTTTAGTTTCATTTTATGTGAGGACGGGCTATTAACAGCATGAAGATTCTGAGCACTGGGCCAGATTACAGTCACACTCAGAAAGCCTGACCTCGTTGGTCTGGGGGTGTTTTCAGAGGCTTCTCACCAGACTTCATGTTTAATTTAAACCTGCAGCCAACACTGCTAGCTGCTCTTTGAACAGTAGGAACAGCTTCCCAAAAAGTGACCACGATTTGAGAACTTTGTCCTTTATAGTAAGTATTCTCTTATGAGATTATTTTTAATTTTTGCCACTTTTTATTTCAGGTAACTGCTGGTGTTCCTCTAAAAAAAGAATACACAGAAGAGGTAAGAGGGCCTATTTAGATGTGTGTGAGGAACCATTCAAATCAGTTTATCCCCGGGTTCCAGTTGACAGAATATACCTTCCACCAGTGGCCTTTAGAAATGTTTTTCCAGCCAGGTGTGGCGGCAGGTCCCTATAATCTCAGTGCTCTGCATGCTGAGGCACAAAGGTTTCAAGTTCAAGCCCAGCCTTAGTATGACCCCATTTCACAATTTTAAATTATCAAAAGGGCTGGGAATGCAGCTCAGCTCAAAGGCCCTGAGTTCAATCTTCTGGATAACAAATAAAAAGGAAAAAAAAATGGCCTTTTCTAAAAATCAAAGAGAAAACAAGTGAATAAAAGGGGAAAAAGCTCTCAAACCTCAAGAAAAGGGGCTGGGGTTTAGCTCAGCAACGTAAGTGCCTGCTTGGCCAACTCTAGGCCATGAGTTTAATCCCCGGAACAACAACAAAAAGAACCTTCAAGAAAAGATTGATATAGGTGAATCAGCTTTTTTTTACTCCCAGGACATACATCTGAGCCATCAGAACTGAAGGTCTCCAGGACGGAAATAAATAAATGTGCAGCATATACCCATATCTTTTGGTGTGGACAAACTTGACTTTTGGAAGACAGGCACTTGGTTTTGTGATGTTCCCATAGACTAATTTTCTAGTAGCAGTACCTCTTAGTTCCTACAAGTGGCGCCAGGGATTTAGGCCGGAAGTAGCTGGAGAGGGCTCCTTGCTGCCCTGGGACCTTGTGGCGTTTGTCTACCAGCCTTCATTGTGGGCCAGTTGCTTATGACCCAAATATGTCGTTAGACCCAGTATAATTTTAGAAGTTGTTGTGAAAATGCACCTCCTCCTTGCAGCCGTCTGTCTTAGAGGTAAGAAGTGAAAAGCTTCTAGGACAGTAAAGTGAGGGACAGTGTAGGCACAACCTGCTAGTGTGGCAAGGCCAGTTTAGTTTGGCAGGTGCAGTGGACAGCACCACATGGGGGTCTGGTTTTCTTACAGAACATCCAGCTGGTGGCCGACGGCTGCTGCAATCTGCAGAAGCAAATCCAGATCGCCCAGCTCTTCGGGGTGCCGGTGGTGGTGGCGCTGAATGTCTTCAAGTGAGTCTGCCTCCTGCCTGTGGTCATGTCGAGGGGCCACCTGTGAATGATAGTGGTGTCTGAGGGTCTTTGGTCTTTCTCTGATTCATCTAAAAGTAGACAGAAATACTCTGCTCTTTCCATTTGTTTGGTCTCATTTGGTTTCATTTTCGCAAATGTGTTCCTAAACATTGTTAGCAAAATGAAATTTATATAGTAAATTACCATTTCCTGGGTTTTTTTTTAAATTCCACTGAGCATTTCTGTCTGAAAGACTGAATGATCAAAGGGAGATGTTGTGGAATTTTCTCGATAAAAGCCTTTAACAACTTGAAATATTTGAGTCATGTTAGAGGGGATTTTTCCCCCATGCTTTTCTTTAAGTCTGATTTATTTAAACATGATGTGACCACTTTTGATGTTTAAAATACATTCAGTGTTAGGGAGCGAGGTTCTGTGTAAACGGTTAGTCTTTCTGTAAAAACATCCCTAAGTGAACACAGATGCAAAACCACAAACATTTTCATCACCAGGACCGACACCCGTGCCGAGATTGACTTGGTGTGTGAGCTGGCGAAGCGCGCCGGTGCCTTTGACGCGGTCCCCTGCTATCACTGGTCGGTTGGGGGCAAAGGGTCGGTGGAGTTGGCTCGGGCTGTGAGAGAAGCTGCAAGTCAAAGAAGCCATTTCCAGTTCCTGTACGACGTCCAGGTAAGGTATATCTGCGACAGCTGTGTGCCTGGCGGCGCTCACATCATGCACTGGGCCAGTGCTGAGAGCTCTGCCCTGAAGGAAGCTGAAGATCACCTGACAGGTCCCTGGGCCAGGGAGACCCCAGCCCTGGCCCCGGAGCCCACGCTCTTGAAGGCCCTGCTCTGCTTCTGAATACCAGGCCCAGGGGAGGAGGCTCCTTGCAGAACAGGAGTCACTGCTGACTCCTGCGGGGACTGACTGCCCAGGAACTGGGCTCGGAATGGTGTCATAAGGCTTGTGACAGCAGGAGGAATTTGCCTTGTCCGCTCTGCCAGGCCACTTTCCCTCATTGCAGTTTTCTCGAACTATATCTTGTGAATGCATTTTTGGTTTCCACTGTGGTAAAACACACATACTGTGAAATTTACTAGCTTGACCATTTTAGTGCGCAGCTCAGTAGTGTTAAGTAGGTTCACAATGGGGTGAAGTCAGTCTTCCCAGCTCCTTTCATCTTGCACACCACAGACTGTTACTGTTTAACACTCACTCCACGTTGCCTACGCACAGCCCCACCAACCACCATTCTACTTTCTGTCTGTACAGTTTTGATTTCGTTAGATAAGCTGTGTAAGTGGAGTCATAAGAGTATTTGTCTTTTTGTGAGTAATTTATTTCATTTAGCGTAACGTCCATGCGTATTCTAGCATGGGTCAAATTTTCTTCCTTTTTAAGGCTCAATAGCATTCCCTTGTATATATGAGTAACATTTTGCTGACCCCCTTCATCTACTGATAGATACTTGGTTGTTTCTATCTTGTGGCTATTGTAAACAATGCTGGGTCTAAGCATCTGTGAAAAATACCTGTTCACAAGCCTGTTTTCACTTCTTTTGGTTGTATCCTTAGAGGTGGGGTTGCTAGATTTCCTAACCTACCACATCTAGGTGATGAACCATAAGCCAGAAGGTCTGCATTTCCCTGGACTCACTCTCAAGCAGTGTGGCGCCCATCTAACATTTCTGTCCTGGATTTTGTGGTCCTGTTGGCCAGTGGGTTTGCCCTTGGAGGCCATCTATGACGCTCCGAGTGCCAGCCTTGAAGCTGACAGCTGCTCCTCCTCTTCCTCCTCCTCCTGGCTCCCTGTTGGTCTTGAGCTGTGTCTTGTGAAGTGCTACTCCTTTCCTGATTGAGCACGTGGGCAGAAGGCAAAAAGATGAGTGCAGAGAAGGCCATGAGTCTGTAGAGTCCAGCTTTCTGTCACCCCCAACAGGGGTTCCCTTTCTACCATGGGGGCCACTGAAGAATGGCTTCCTTAGGGCTGGGGATTTAGCTCAGCGGCATAAGCGCCTGCCTTGCAAGCAGGCAGTCGTGAGTTCGATCCCCGGTACCAATAAAAAGGAAAAGGACAAAAAAAAAAAAAGAATAGCTTCCTTGTGCCCCCTGTTTGGGCACAGGGCCAGTGTCCATGCTTTTTGTTTGGAGGTGGGGTTTGGTACTGGGAATCAAACTCATGACTTTATGCTTGCCAGGCAGGCGCTGTGTTGCTGAACTAGATCCCCAGAGTCCACTTCTTTAGTCCTGACATGCCTGTGGAGCAGGAACTGGCAGCCCCTCCCATCCTCCACATAACACGGAAGCACCCAAAGATAAGTGGCGAGCAATGTCCCGCATGGGGCACAGGCATAGCTGGCAGCACAGCGAGGCAGTCAGTAGTAGTCTTCAGCATTCAGGACTTTGCTCGACGTGGGAAGGCAGGCAGTGACCAAGCGACCCACCTTAGGCAGAGATGATAGGGAAGGAAACAGCACAGAATCCCTGCCAAATGAGGGGCTCAGTGAAGGTTTGTGGAAGGAAGCACTTGAGGGATGATTTGAGAGAGTTGGCGAGGAAAGGTTTGTCACGTGGGAAGACCATGTGATGAAGGAAGGGCTCGGATACCCTGGGCATCAGCAGTGGTCACGATCCTCACACGAGAGGATGTGGGGTTATCATAAAGAAAATGCTTCTGACCGGAGGCTGAGTATTCTCTGGCACTGAGTGTAGAACAGAAGTGATGTACAGTGGCTTGGCACAGTGTTCACAGCCCCCTCGGAGTGGAGTGATAGGGTGGCCCTGATGCCCTGCACCTTGGTCCTGGCTTGCCAGTGAGGCCACAGTGCAGCAAATTCCCCACCGTCCCACACCAGCCACCTTCCTAGACCACCGCAAGGGCCCACCATTCACCCCACAGCAAAGGTGGTTTTCCCTTGAGTGACCCAGTACAGTGGCTGTCTACAGTGAGCACTGTCACAAGAAAGATTTCTGAGCCATGCCGTCTCCCACGTGCTAACTCTAAGAAGAACCCCATTCCTTTCCATTGATCTCATTTTTTTCCCTATATGACCATTTATTCTTACTAATTAGCAAATTATAAGTGTAAATATATATGGTACAAATTACTGTGATTGAAACAGTATGAAGTGATTAACTCAAACTAAGCAATCCATCACCTTGAATATTTAATATTTTATGGTAACATTTGGTACTTACTTTTTTTTAAAATTTATTTATTTTGTCTTTTTGAAACAGGGTCTCACTATGCATTTTGGGTCAGATTTGAGCTCACTCTATAGCCCAGACCAGTCTCGAACCCACACTATCCTCCTGTCTCAGCCTCCTTCCTGAGTGCTGGGATTATAGGCCTGTGCCATCATGCCCAGCTTCTAGGATTTCCTCTTGATGATATTGAAATACAGCATTTGATTATTAGCTGTGCTTACCGCACTGTACAGTAGATCCCTCCAGAAAAGACTTCTTCCTGCCATTGGAGGCCTTTGTGCCCTTTATCACCTCTGCATTCGCGTGCTTCTTGGGCAAAATGAGATGTCCACCATCCTGGAAGAGGGAAGATAGTGATATTGTAGGAGTCCAGGAGGTGCTGGTGGCTGGGGGCCAGGGCTCCCCTTACACCAAGTGCTCCTCTCCCATTTCTGATAACACTGAATTTGAGCAGCAGAGTTGTTTTTAGGAGACCAGCACCTCAGCCTGCTGCAACAGGACAGCTCACGGACAGAGTACAGGTGCTTCTGCTCCCTTAAATGTCGTGACAGCCGAGTTCCTCATCTGGCAGAATTTCAGCTCCTGTGAGACCCTTTATTTGTCACCTTGTCTTGAAATCTGAATTCAGGGGTACAGTCAATCATGGGGCATAACCCCCTCCCCCTGGTTCCTTATATTACTCAATGCAGAAAGGTAGATAGCATAGCTGAAAGAAAAACAACATATCTCCACTTCACCAGCTAAGAATCCCTTACCCCACATGCTTTCCGGTGCGCCCCACTGAGTCTGCCTGGAATGTAGGTTCTGAAGTATACTTAGGAGAGTGACAGACTTGCCCCGGAGCAAATAGACAGTAGATGGGAACAGTGCTAGATGACAGTGCAAAGGCTAAAGCTTGGAGCCACATAGAGTGGAGTTCAAATCTTGACACGGTTTCTGTGTGGATAGCAGCTCGGGCAGGGTCATTCATGGTGTGAGCACAGCTTCCTTGCTGCTCTGTAGCATCCCCAAGTGAAACTCCACATCATGGTAGCTGGCTGCCCTGAGTGCTATCTGTCCCTTTCTTTACAAGGAGAAGAGCATCCTGAATGCACCTTCAGAAATTGTCTTGTGAGGCCAGGCAACTTCGGCAAACTCTCGTGGTGGTTTCTTTTTTTCAGTGGGGTTAAAACTAGAGAACCAGGGTTAGAACCAGGGATTTAGCTCAGCGGTATAAGCGCCTGCTTGGCAAGCACAAGGTTGTGAGTTAAATCCGGCACAAAAATAAATAAATAAAACTAGACATTAGAAACCAGAGTTCCTAAATGCACCTTAAGAAAAAGGCACCATCAAGCTAAACCAAGACATGTGGCACATTTCCTTCTCTGTGAGGATGGGGAGCCATTCGTAGTATCAAAAGAAATCAGCCCTGTTTGCAAGGTAGGAGGGTAGCACTGAAAAACTGACTGAGAATTCAGAGTCAGAATGCTGTTTGTTCAGTCCGGGTGAAGGTTGAAAATCATCTCCATGTTCTTCCTCTCGTCTTGCAAACATTTGGAGGTGTAACCTTGACAGCAAGACAGGGTAGTGATTGTTTTGGTTAAGAGGGCTTTCCTGTGGCCTGCCCAGAGCATTTCCCTTGATCACAGCAGGGTCTGGAGGAAGGCTGCAAAGCCCACCACGCAGACAGCAGGCACAGCCAGCCTCGGTGCTGTCTCAGCTGGGCGCGGTCCCTGCCCTTGGGTTTTGGGGTGCTTCTCCCCTGCTGGTCTTTTTTGAGGCAGGGTATGTTTTGATCTGTTGGTTATTGAGAAGTAACTTCATATTTCTCTAAAGACTCAAACTTGAACGTCTTCCAATTGTTGGAGATTTGTGAGTTTCCTTTGAAATTAGACTTTAGACATTTACAACCAAAGCCCCAAAGTTTAAGTAAATAAAAACGCATATATACACATATATATGATTGTATCTGTGTGTATATTATGGGATTTTTTTATTGTGGTAAAAATGTATATAACATAAAAATTTCCACTTACATTTTTGAAGTATACAGTCCTGTGGTATTAAGTACATTCACAGTGTAAATTCAGGGTTGAATTAGTGAATTCTAAATTTAAGATGCTCAATCATCTTTGTATGTTTTTTATATATATTTCACAATAATTTTTTTTAAACCCTCTGAGGAAGAAAGATGTATGCCTTCTTTTTGTCCTGTTTGTCCCTGGATGCCTGCCCTAGTTTTGTCCTCACTGTTAACCAGCTCACCCTTGATCAGCCTGTGCCTGAAGCCGTTTCCTCAGCTCGCCCCTTTCTGTGCACCAGGCTGACTGGTGGATGCTGTAGGTAGCAGCCCCTCAAATTGTCCACTCAGTTAAGAATCTCATTTGTAAATCTGTCTCTCTTCCTTCTACCCTTTCATATTCTGCTTTATTTATAACTGAGCTCCCTTTAAAGATCTTTGGTCGTTCAACCCAAGAGCATCAAAGACCTTTCATAGCCTCT